TATAAATTGGCCTCTGATTAGTGATTTTGCCATGTCCCAAAGATTTTGATTTGTTGTGTTGTCATTCTCATTTGTCACAAGGAAATTTTATTTCCTTCTTTATTTGCTTTATTACCTAATCTTTGTGAGTATTATATTTTTCAGTCTCCATGTGTTTGTCTTTATGTTTCTATTCTTTTTATTGTTGATTTCTAATTTTATAGTATTAGCGTCTGAGAAGATAAGTTGTAGGACCTCAATTAAAAAATTTTTTGAGGCCTGCATTGTGGCCAAGTTATAGCGTCTATACCTGAGAATGTTCTATGTGTGTTGGGGAAGAATGTGTACTGTATTTATGATGGATGGAGTGTTCTGTATTTATCTAATAAGGCCGGTTTTGTTGATTGTGTTGTTGAGCTATTTGGTGTCTTTATTGAGTTTTTTCCTTGATGTTCTGTCTTTCTTTGAGTTTGGTTGATTGAAGTTTCCTGTCATCATTGTCGATGTGTCCATATCCATTTTCAATTCTGTGAGGATTTGATTAATGTATTCCTAGGGTCTTTCATTGGGTGTATAAATGTTTATTATAGCTATGTCTTCTTGAGCTATTGTTCCCTTGTTCATCATGCATTGTCTGTTTTAGTCTCTGTTTTTTTTTTTGCTGGCTCTTATGTTGTTTGCCTTGAAGTATGTTTTTTGAAAGATTAATATTGCTACTCCTGCTGTCTTTAGGTTGCCGTTTGCTTGGTATGTTTTTGTCCAGCCTCTGATTTTCAGTCTGTCTATGTATCTGAGGTGTATTTCTTGTAGGCAGTATAATGATGGATTTTGTTTTCTGATACATTCTGCTACTATCTGTGTCTTAACTGGTGCATTTAGTCCATTAATATTCAGTGAGATTATTTATAATGTATTTATTACTGTCATTTTGCTTCCTATTTGTGCATGTTGTGTTTAGTTTCTCTGTTCTTCCTGTATTAATTTGCTTTGGATGTTCTGTGTTTGTTGGTTTTTGTGAGGAATTTTCTTGTGTGTTGGTTCAGATTGTGTGTTGATTGTTTGCCCATAGAACTTCATTGAGTATTTTGTAGTGCTGGTCGTGTTTTGTGAATTCTTTTAATTTCTCCTTATCTTGAAATACTTTTATTTCTCCAACTTATTAGAGTGATTATTTTTGCTGAGTATAAGATGGTAGGTTGACAGTTTTTATTTCTTCACAACTCTGTATTTGTTACTCTATTGTCTTCTTTCCTGGATGGTTTCTGCTGAGGAATTTGAGGTTATTCTAATTGCTGACTCTCTGTATGTAATTGTCCTTTTTCCTCTGGCTGCTCTTAGAATTTTTTCCTTATTCTTGATGTTAGAAATTATAACCACAATATCCCAGAGAGTTTTACTCTGGGGATCTCTCCAGACTTCCTGAATAATTATCTATAAGACCTTGAGGAAAGTTTTCTTGCAGGAGTTCTTGGACTAACTTTGTGTGGATTTTTTTCCTTCCTTTATTGGAATCCCTATAAGATGTAGATTCTTCTTGAATGTGTCCCACATTGTTCTCAAATTTTTTTTGTTCTCTTTCCATCTCTTCAATTCTGTTCTTCTGTTCTTTTATAGTATTGTTTAATTCTGCTATAGTAGTGTTTGACTTTTGTGTTTTTGCTTGATGGTTTTCATGTAGTGGGGTTTCTAGTGTATCTTTCTTTCGTTCTTTTTTTTCTTTAACTTTCCCTTACTCTTCCTTCATCCAGCATATGAGTGCACTCATCATTCTTTTAAGTTATTTTCCTGGTAATTCCATAGCCTGTTAAATTTCAGGTACAGTGAACCCTCATTTATCGTGGTTAATTGGTTCTAGACCCTACCGTGATAAATGAAATTCCGCGAAGTAGGATTCCTTGTCACGATGCGCTTTGCTTCCTTGTTGAAAGTGAAAGTAGCCATAGCACGGATGTTTTTTCCCTCTTTACGGATGGAGCGAACGGAAGACTCATTCAAGTCGAAATGGCGTGCAACCTCCACGATTTTCTTGCCATCTTTGATCATATCCAAAAGTTTTACCTTTTCCTGGATGGTGAACATCTTCCTCTGGCGCTTCTTTTTATTGTCAGAAGGCTTAGAAGAAGCAGCTCGTTTAGGAGCCATCATAGGGCTTAGATAAAATTTCTTAAAAATCGCAAACAATTACAGTACACTGTACAAAAGCAAAAATGCATCTGATACGTAGCTCCGATATGTAGCGATGCAGACAGAAGCGTGTATAGTATGAGCCAATCAGTGGCAGTAATGACAGAGCATGCGCTGTTATGCAAAAACCGCGATAGAGTGAAGCCGCGGAAGTCGAAGCGCGAAGTGGCGAGGGTTCACTGTATTTCATTTAGGTATGGTTGGTATAAAGTTATTTGTGTTTGTTTCTCGTGTGTGTGTGTGTGTGTGTGTGTGTGTGGTCTAATATCTTATGTTGTTTCCTTTGCATCTTGGTGTAGCTAGTAGGGGTGTCTGGAAAATGGGGTTATGTGGAAGTAATTAACTTGGTTAGGTGGTGCAGTAAAGGGGTGGTAGACACTATATTAAGTATCTGTAGGAAAATGTTAAATCACCAATAGAAATGTACTTGCCTTCTCTGAGAGATACATACTCCCCTCTCCCCCATTGCTGACTTGAATTTTCAACAAGGTTTGCTTATCATTCTAGTAGGAGTGAGTGTTTGTTGATTTAGGGTGGTCTTAGCATAATTTTGTATGGCAGCAACTGAATGGTCATCTCCCTGTCTCCTGATTTTGAAAAACTGACCGAAGCTGAGGTGTATGACCTGAGCAGAAGCCTGCCTATATGTTGATGTTTATACTTTGTTCTACTAATTTAAAAATAATTCAGGCTCAAGTGTTGGGATAAAAGTTTTTATTTATTTCATTGTTTTAGGAAAGACTTTTCATCCATTGAAATGTTTACATTATTATTTTCTTTTTTAGTGGTTTTGTATGGATTTGGTCTGCCTTTTCTGTTTATTTCCTAGATTCCCACCTTTTTAATTTACTTTAAAAAGAATTGACCGTTATTTGTAGAGAGATGTGAGAGTATCAGGTTTTCAATTTTCTTACTTCAAAAGCTACTCTTCTGTTGGGATATGGAAATGTAGTTTGTGTATTTTTAAATCAAGGGCACCCTTTTGGAAAGGTGAGAGTTTGCCATGTTTTCTGATTCTGTTTTGTATCTCTAAGTTTCTCTGGTGGTGTGTTATGCATTGGGCTGCTAACCATAGGTCAGCAATTCAAACCCATCAACTGCTTCATAAGAAAAAGTGAGGCTGTCTGCTTCCATAAGGCTTTACATGTTCTGAAACTCTTAAAGAACCATTCTACTCTGTGTTAAAGGATTGCTATGAGTCAGAATTGACTTGCAATAGTGGGTTTCATTTTGGTGTTTTGCTTCACAAAGAGCCTTTCTTCCTCCTCTTACTTATCTCTGCCTTCTCTATCACCTGCCTAGAGATAGCTACCTTATTCTATCACTTCTTTTTCTTCCCAGGAATGAATCTACATTCCCTTGAGCCTATTACTTTCTCAAGTCCTGAACAATTTCTAGTCACTTACTTTAGATTTTCTATTAGCCCATGTTTGAGATCCCAAATCTCTAATTTCTTTCAGTAGTTTTGTAAATGGGATTATCTTTTTTTTGGATCTCATACTGCTACTTGTCTCTCTTACTATAGGCTTTGAATTTGAGTCTGGTAGGGTTAGGCATTTTCCAACTACCAGGTAATTTGAGTTTTTTGTGATTTTTTTTTAACCTGTGGGTTTGTGTGCTTTTGATTCACTGAAATCATGGATTTTAGGTGATTTTTCTCTACTGCTTTGGTTGATCTGTATTTTTTTTATTTTTTGAGGGCTTAAATAATTGTCATTAATATCTTGCAGTCCAGAAGTTATTGCATTTATATTTGAAGAGTATTTTTGTTGGATATAAAATTTCATATTGACAAGGATAAAAATAGTCACAGAAGGCAGATAATTTTTCCAAGCTTCTTCCCTCTTTCTTAGTTCCTTTATTTCTTCCTACTCTAGTAGGTGAACACTCTAGTATCTGGCTTTTCTTATTGTCCTAGCGAGGGGTGTTGGTTGTTGTCATGTCTCTCATCCTACCAGGATACCTTCTGTTATCATTTGTTTGTTTTTAGGACCATCTAAATTTTATCCCTAAGATAATGAATTTTTAGTATTTTAATTGAAAATTACTATAGTGGGGCCTCTAAGATCAATACTGGGTTTGATAGTTCTGCAGGATGACTAACAGAACTAGTGTATAATCATATTCATGTCTAAGATTATTATAGTGGAAAGACAGAAGGAAAACTCAGCAGAGAGAAGACTCGTGGTGAAATCCAAAGAAGACCAGGCACAAGCTTCCAAGAATCCTGACCTAGTGGAGTTGTACAGGTCAACATAGTTCATCCATCAAAGAGTTGTGACAACACATGCGAAATGCTGTCTACCAGTGAAACTCATTAGTATCTAGGATTTGTATTGGATATTAGTTACTTAGGCACTCTGCCAAGGGCATAACATCTGTATGTTACATTGTATGTATAACCTGGCAAAGTGAGTCACTCTTATTAGTTAGGGTGTTGAAAATCTCTAACAAATTGATCCAGAAGTCAGCCAGGAGCCAACTTTACAAGCAGGTCTTTTCGAGGATGGAGGTTTAGGTCTGTTAACTCTTTTCTGAACGCTTCTTAGCCATACATATATTCATCCTTTTAAGGAGCATTATTAGGATATTAAAATTGGTTAGAAATATCATATGTAATATAGAGTTTTCTTCTCAGTAAAACTTACAGATAATTTAAAATGAGAAAAAATTAAAAGTAAGACTAAGTTAGGAAGAGAATAAAATTGCTCTGAACCATAAGCTTAAGGTTTTAATTTTGAAAAAAACTTAAATCGAGGCAATCAAAATGCATATTCCTTGTAATGTATAGAGAAAATTACTGTCTAAAAGAATCACATATTACTCTTTTCTTTTAGCCCAAGAAAGCTGTCAATTTAAAACCTCATCCACCTATAGCTCCTCGACCTTCTAGTGGTTCCACGGCAGCAGCTCGTCATAGATTGTTGAGGGTTCTCCCTCACATTGGGCAATCTTGCTTGCCTTCTCCTGGAAATGCTTATGTACCTGAAACTTCCAAGAATGTACTTTCAAATTTGGCAACCTTGACTCCTGCTGCTGATAGACCCATATCATCTCTAACTAATGATTTTCTTAAGGAAGATAGTAAGTGGGAGAGTAACATGCTGTGTCATGCCACGAGTAGCATCAAACCACCATCTCAGATATCTCATGTTGAGTTAAAAAATGACAAAGAGCATACTGATTCTATTCTCTGTCTTGGGCCATATCAGCCTAGGTGTACAGAAAACTTTTCAGGAAGTTTGCCATCTAATACTAAGGATAACACTACCTTGTTTCCAAGTACAGAACAATGTGTTACTAATGATTCCTTACCTAAAGTGGGTTCATTTGCTTCCTTAAAAGAAGGATACACTGAAGAACAAAGCAGTGGCTTAGAAGACACACAGAAAGTACATCCAGAGTTCTTACTTACTAATAGTGATAACGGGCTGGAAGCTAAAGAAGAGCACCTTAAAAATGTTGCAAGAGTGGTGAGTGATGAATCATTAGAAACTACAGTTCTTAAGCACCATGAATTAAGTCCTCATAAGAATAGACTCTTATCACCTATTCATTGTTCTGCACCAGTGTCACTGTTGAAACCACAGAGAAAATCAAAATGTTTTGAATCTGCGAAACTCCAATCTTCTGCTTCACAAAACGTGCTCCAATCATTGGATTTCCGAAATATAACTGATTCCTCATTCTCTAGGACTACTCGCTTTCGAGGTGTTAAAGTTGATTCACCTGGAAAAAGAGCTGATATTATTTCTAAAGTCGAGGCTCGAGATATCACAGAAATGGCTAACAAAGCTTCCAAAGAGCCTGTTGGGTGTGTAAATAATATAGGTTTTCTTGCTTCCCTGGCCCGGAGTGCAAGCAGAGATGGTTTACAAAACACATATGGGGCAGGCAGGTTTTGGGCTTCTGGAACTGGGCTATCTACAAACCACCAGCCTTTTCAGGAAGAAAGCCTTGGGAAAAGCTCTCCCCAGGTAGAGCCAACAGACTTTTTTCTAGTAAGTATTTGCCTTCCAACATGCTTCACTAGTTAACTTTATTCTGATTCAACATAAACATTTTTGTTTAGATAAATTAGGAGGTCTAAGGTTGATTTTTTTCCTTAAGATTTTTTTTAGTTTGTTGAAAAGCCCTTTTTAAACAGTTTATTTTAAAATATTACTTTAGTCCTAAATTGAGAGCTATCCTTTGAAAATAATTTTATTAAATAACTTATTATTATATTTTTAAGGATAAAGGTTTTAAATAATATTTTCCCAAATAAGAACTTTTATTTGAGCCAGAAGACGTTACTCCCTTAAAGGTAAATAAGCACAGTATAGCTGAGTGTCAGAATCAGGTTCCAAGCTAATTTAATTAAACAAATTTAAATGAAATCCTGACTGCATTTTGGTAACAGAATATACACATTTCTTATTTGTTGATCTCATATTTGCCATTGACTCACCTCTGCAGATGTTTTGTGTTTTAATTATAGTCCGCTCGTGGTATTGGAATAAGTGGAAATAATGCAGCAGCAGGAAAAAGATTAGGTAAGCAACAAACACTTTTAAAAACAGGATAAGGCCAATCTCATCATTATGCATAATATTGAATTTTCAAAGAGGAATTAGAAGAATATCCGTTTTGGTATGTATAAAATAAATTTACTCTCTAAATTTTTTTATTTAAGCAAATGAGGACCTAGGAGGTCTAGGAGAATTCTGTCTATGGAGAATAAAACAAAAATAGAAAGTGAAGTGTTTGTGTCCTAGAAGAACACATAGTTCCCAACCCTAGTCACTTGCTATTGAACCATAATAGGCTGTTGTGTGAGTTTCGAGAAATTATTCTAGAAAGGTATGATTCTTAATGACATGGTCTGAATAAAATATCAAGTCCAGATAAGTGAAAGAGTATAACATTAGCAGTTTAACACATTAAAGAACACCAACTAGTCATTATTCCTTAGGTGTAAGTTTGATTTGACTTATTAAGGTTCTCCATTGTTCCTAAGGATCTCCTTTGGTTGCATTATCCATTCTTTTTAAAAAAATCATTTTATTAAGGGCTCATACAACTCTTATCACAATCCATACATACATTAATTGTGTAAAGCACATTTGTACATTCATTGTCCTCATTCTTATCCTTCAGTTTAGCATTAGCTATCTTTTTATACAAGTTACTATCAATTTTGCACTTGAACACTAATATTCTATTATTCGTTGGCTGCATTTTCTTCTTGGTACATGCTTATAGATCATTATATTAGATTAAATATTAAACTAGTAAGTTTTCCACAAGTGAATTCATCCAAAAATCTTGCATTCTGTTCCAAAATGCGACTCCATGATATTATTAATTCTGGTTTATATTATAACATTTACATTTTTAGGATGCTTTTACATACTATGAAAAATGGCTTCTGATATCTTTAAAAAATGAGGTATTGAAATTTTCAAAGAATAAATAAATAATTTGCTCATGGTTTGCTGAATTAACATTCTCTGATGTAATCAAAACTGAAAGACCAGTTTCATAAAACTTTGATGCTTCTTCTTGGCAATTGTATTAGACACTAGGTAGTTCCTCTGAGGCTTCATCAAATACTTTTAACTGGATATCTTTTTTTGAATTTTTGTTAAAGTTTGGTATACTTTACATAAATTAATTACCCTTACAAATAATCAGAAAAGAGTTGGAATGTACAGAAAGTCTTAGGAACACACATTTTTATTGATTTTAAACATTTTTACTGTGGATTAGTTGAAGGTTTAAAGATCATTAATTTTACACTCAACAATTTATACACGTTATTTTAACTCGTCCATTACAATCCCTTCACTGTTCTCTCATTTATACTTCCTTGTGTTTCTTGTTCCCATCCCTCCTTTTCTAATCCTCTGAACTTTGCTCTTGGGAAAACGCTGCTCTTTTCATCTAATTGCTGATTATGCTAACATGAGACCGAGTCCAGTTCAGACCTGAAAGGTGACAAGACCGATAGTCTTGGGAGACCCATCAATCTTTGTCTGATGAGTAGGCCCGGGCACTTTTATGATTTTGAGTTTTACTCCACACTTTCTCCACTCTGTCCAGCACCTTCTAAAGTGATCTTATTCTGAACACTTACTAATAGTAGGTGGGCACCACCAGGTTTTCTAATCTCAGGGCTGTGGAGACTGATAGTTCCATATGTCTTTCAATGATAATCACTCTTCTTTACTATAGATGGGGAGAATCAATATTTGCACTTTAGATGATTGCTCACAAGGTTTTTAGACCCCAGCTTCTACTCATTAAATTAGGATGTCTTTGTGAATTATGTTATGCCAATTAATCTTGGTGTACCACCAAACTATAGTCCTGATCTTGCAGGCCCAGCAATTCATTCTCTCAAAGTGTTTGATTATGTCTAACAAGTTTTACGCCTTGCTACCATACTTATGGGTATAATTGCAGCAAAACCCAGCACATCTTTAAAAATGTAAATAAGAACTATTGCAAATTCACTTGCAGATTATGTAAATAATTTCGTATATGGAAAGTATGAGAATAAATAAAGTATTGCTGCTAAGGTTACAGTTTATACATATGCAAGTTTATTACAAATAAAATATGTTTAAACATGCCTCTGCTATCAGTGGATAGCTACAGACTACTTCTCAGCATTATACTTGCTTTAGTTTTAAAAATGAAGGATACTTTTGTGCCATGTGAAAAATAAAATTTTTATGTCAGGACTAATATTAAAATAAATAAATAAATAAATGCTCATGTTGACATATTCATAAATAATTGAAGCTTTGCTACATTTATAGAAATGCTGTCACATAAAATGATATTTATTAGGTAGATCAAGCATTTTAAGGAAAGCTGGGATGACGGTAAATTTTGACTTATTAAGAAATGGTGGCTGAAGTTTAGAAATTGGTGTACGAAGATTGTTGAGTTACCATTAATATAACTACTGAAGTTGAGGTTCACATTATTCAGCATTTTCAGTTCTAAGCAAACAGATTGGCTTCTCAGCTTTCAGCATGATATGTACCAAACCTTTTGCATGAACAAATTTATGGAACAAATTGTAACTAGGAACTAGCCTTAGATTTACCAATACTATCCATCGAGAAAGGTCCTCTCAAAACAGGGATATTTTAGGCCAATTAAATTCAAGGCTGAGAGGTCAACTCAGGAGGCTATGGTAATTGTATTTTGGGCATTCCAAGGGGTTAATTTTGATCAATATTCTCAAAGAACACAGGATAATCATGGGTATTATTATTATTCATAAATCATTTTATTTCAGGCTCTGACAGCTATTAACAACCCATACATCAATTGCATCAAGCCTATTTGTACATATGTTGTCATCATCATTTCCAAAACATTTTCTTTCTACTTGAGCCCTTGGTAACAGCTCCTCTTTTATCCCTCCCTCCCCAACACTCCCACCCTCATGAACCCTTGATAAATTATAATTATTTTCATATCTTACATCATCCACTGTCTCCCTTCACCCACGTTTCTGTTGTTCATCATCCTTGGGGTGGGTGGGGGAGTCCTACTACATCAGTCATTGTGATCAGTTCCCCCCTTTTCCCCCTTCCCCCATCTTTCCCCTACTCTCATGGTATCACTACTCCCATTACTGTTCCTGAGGGGTTTATCTGTCCTGGATTCCATGTGTCGAGAGGGCTTATCTGTACCCGTGTACATGCTCAGGTCTAGCTGGATTTGTAAGGTAGAATTGGGGTCATGATAGTGGGGTGGTGGGGGGATAAGTATCAAAGAACTAGAAGAATGTTGTGTGTTTCATCTGTGCTATATTTCACCCTGGCTGACTCATCCCTTTCCTGTGATCAGATGGGCTTTGGGTCTCCACTCTGACCCCTTCGTTCACATCTATACAACTGTTTTGAGTCTTCTGATACGTGATCTTGTCAACATCTCATGATCACACAGGCTGGTGTGCTTCTTTCATGTGGGCTTTGTTGCCTTCCTGCTAGATGGCCGCTTGTTTAACTTTAAGCCTTTAAGACCCCAGATGCTATATCTTGTAACAGCTGGACACCATCAGCCTTCTTCACCACATTTGCTTATGCACCCATTTTGTCTGTGTAGGGAAGGTGAGAATGCCAGGTTATTAGAACAAAGTGTTCTTGCATTGAGGAAGGAGTTGAGTAGAGGCCCAATGTCTGTCTACTACCTTGATACTTAACATATACATATGTGTACATAGGCCTATATCTCTATCGTTATATATTAATTTATTTACATATATACATGCCTATATTTATACCTCTCTAAATGTCTTTTGCCTCCTAGTTCTTTCCTCTATTTCCTTTTTACTTTCTTCCTGTCCCACTATCATGTGTGACCTTCATTTGGCTCTCAGTAATTCCTCCCAGCTACAGTGTACTTGATCAAACTCCAACAGACATTCTATACCTTCCTCACCATCAATTTTAGATTTCTTGTTGTTCCCTTGACCATGGGTTTGTTGTCTCCCCCCCTTTTTCCCCTCCATCTCCCTCTTTCCCTTACCCCCGCAGAACTGTTGGCCCCATTGTTTTCTCCTCAGGAGTGTTTATTTTGACTATCTTATATAGATACACATGAAAAAGAAGAAGAGGAAAAAGGGGGCCTATAAATAGTTTCAGGTTTGTCTGCTGACCCTTATATATGTTTTCCAGTTGAGTCTGATGAGGTTCTAAGTCTGCCCTCTGAATCTGAAGACTATATTTGGGATTCCTTGGGGACTTCTTTGCTTTGCTCCCCTTGCTGTTCTGTGTGCTCCCTTTGTGTTTCACCTTGCTATGGGGGTCAGACCGGGCACAATTTCTACACTTTGTCTCCAGTGGTGTTCCCTGCAGTGCTGTGGGTCAGCAAAGGGACATCATCCATCTCTCTCTCTCTCTCTCTCTCTCTGGGGCTGGCCTTAAGGTCTCTGAGCCTTGGCTGCTTGGTGTGCCAGGATGTGGTGCCCCATTTCCACCACCACCCCTCTTAATTTGCTCCCATGTGGTCTGGGCAAACCTGCCACTCTCCCTGCCTGTGTCTTCAGTGCTGCCCTCTGTAGTGTAATCTTCAGGGCAGGGGGTTTGATGTAGCTGGGATTGGGGCCAGTCCTAGATCTCTTTTAGTTTGCTGCTTCATGCCAGTATGTTGCCCTCAAGGCTTGGCATACCAGGTTGAGGTCTTGTCCCTCTCACCCTTTCCTATGGAGACAAACCCATGGGTGGGTTTGTGCCCTGTTTCCCCACTATCCATGCCCTCTTTTTTTCCCCTTTTTCTTCTTTTTCCTCCGTTTTAGTTGCCTGCCATATGCATTGCTGGGTCGGGTCTGATCCCTTCCAGAGTACCTGGGCCTTGCTCTGAGAATTTATGCATTTAGTGGCTTTTCCCCTGTGCCCCTTTTGATTTTTAAGCTTGCCTCAGTGGATTCATGTTATACTTTTCCTTTTGTGCTTGGTTTACTTCACTTAGCATAATTTCCTCCAACTCTTCATGGGTCTTATTACGAAGACGTTTTAAGAAAAATGAAAATTGTGGTTATTAGAAAAAGACAAACTTGTTGCATCAAGCATTTTTTCTACTTCCCATTATGGCAATGCACCTGCTTGTTCTTTGAGAATAGCAAGGGCTATCCTAATAGAATTTCTTTGTGATACCTTAACACAGCATCCTCCAACTCTGATTCTGCCCCTTCATGCTTCTTTTTGTTTCCCACATTCAAAGACATTTTTTTGGTAGACTGTGTTTAAGTTTATATATAACAAAACATTGGCCATTTCAACATTTAAATGTATAATTAAGCAACATTAATTGTGTTCATCACATTATACAACATTACCACTATCCATTTTCAAATGTTTCCATCAGCCTTAACTGAAGGTTAATGCCCCCACCTCCAAAGTCTAGACTCCCTTTTCTCCACCCCGACCTTCATATCCCTCACCATTATTGAACTTTGGCCTCTACACATTTGCCTTTCTTGAGTAGTTATACATGCATCTCTTTGTATTTTTGTTTTCAATTATGTTGAGTGTATACCTAGATCACATGGTAGTGGATTACTAACCACAAGGTCGGCAGTTTGAACCCACAAATTTCTCCATAGGAGAAATATGAGGCTTTCTACTTTTGTAAAGATTTACTGTCTCAGAAACCCAATGGGAAGGTTCTACTCTATAGGGTTGCTGAGTTTAGTTAGATGATAGTTCTATGTTTAATATTGTGAGACATTTCCTAAACGTTTTTCCTAGGGCCTGGCCATTTTACAATCCTATCAACAATTTTCCCCCACAACCTTGCCAACACACATTTTCTGGTGCTTGTTTGTTTAGTCTGGTTGTTGTTGTTTTAGGTGCTGACTCCTAGCGACCCTATGCCCAACAAAGGGAAACCCTGCCTCATCCTACTCCATTATCATCCTTGCTATGTTTGAGCCTATTGTTACACCCATTGTGTAGCAATCTCATCCAGAGTCGTCGTCTTTTTCATTGCCTTTTTACTTCACCAAGTCTGGGGAGCTTTTCCAGGAACCAGTCTCTCCTGATAACATGTCCAAAGTCCTTGAGATGAATCTGGCCATCCTCACCTCTAAGGAGCATGCTGGCTGTACTTCTTCCAAGACACACCTGTTAATTCCTCTGGAAATTCATGGTACTTTCAATAACCTTTGCCAGAACCATAATCCAAATGTATCCATTTTTCTTTGGTCTCTCTTACTCAATGTCTAACTTTCACATGCATGTGAGGCAATTGGAAATACCATGGCGCACCTTAGTCCTCAAAGTGACATGCTTGCTCTTCATCACTTGTTAAAGATGTCAAAGACAGTTTTAAAGGAACATGATTTGGTTCCTTCATGGATGACAAAGTTGCCATTTTGATATAGGGTAAAGGAATAAGTGCAGAATTATTTGGGGATGGGTTATAAAGATGGAAATACCACTTTCAGAAGTGTATAGTCATATATGGAGAATATGTCAAGAAATAGTAGCTTCACATTTGATATTTTTGTTTAATTCTATTTTATAACAATATTTTATCTCACCTTCTTAGCACAGATTAATTTTTTATGGCAAGAAGTCTTCTATGACAAGAATGTGATGCGCTTCATAGTATTATATATACATATATATATGTATAATTTATACTCGTGTCCTTTCTCCAAACAGGGGATTGTAATCATCGCCTTCCACCTGTGAAAGCACCTATTCAAACTAAGAAGAAACCAGGAAAGCATTGTTTTCTTTGTGGAAAGAAAACAGGACTGGCTACTAGCTACGAATGCAGGCAGGTTGGCCCACTGAAGAAGCTGAAATGTTTTCTGTGTTGTCACCCAGTTTAGGAATTATGCAAAATAAAAACATTCTTTAAATTGGCTAATCATAATATCATCCTTAAGGCAGTGTTTAGAGAGCAGCCCTCAGTTGAATCTCTAATTAGCTATAATAAAGAACAGCAAGTAGAAAATACCATGAGTATCCAAAAAGTGAAAGCAGACCCTTTCTTGACCTTTAAATTGGGAGATTTAAAACAATTGGAAAGCACACATTCTTATTCTAGATATACTTGGTTTTTGTTTTAGTAGCTTGGAAAACTACTCTCCTAAGAATTTATTTTAAATTATACAAAAAAGGATTAAATTTAAAATTAATGTAGTATATAAATATTAACATAGGAGCCCATTGGTGTAGTGCTTATGCATTGGGCTGCGATCTACACAGTCGACAGTTCGAAACCACCAGCACCTCCATGGGAGAAAGACTAGGCTTTCTATTCCTATAAAGAGTTATAGTCTTGGAAACACACAGGGGTGGCTATGAGTCAACAGTGACTCAATGGCAGTGAGTTGAGTATAAATATTAACAATTTTATTGTACTTTTATTTCAGCAGATAAATAATATGAGGAGGCCTAAAAAAGTTTGTGAAAAATTCCCTATCAATTCCATTTTTCCATGAATCCCCTTGGCATAGTTGTTGAAGGCCATTAAGGCTACGACACATAGTAGAGTCGCTAACCCAGTGATGAGCATTTCAAACTCATCAGGCACTCTGCAGGAGAAAGATGAAGCTGTTTGCTTCTGTGAAGATGTAAAGTCTCAGAAACTCAAAGGAGCAGTTCTACTCTGTCCTATTGTGTTATTCTGGGTTAGAATTTGGTGTACATATTCAAGAAATAATGAAATATATATTAACTTTTTCACTCATAACTTTTCTTTCATTAGCATTAGATCGCTTTGCTCCAGTGATGGTATTTGCCCATAGGTTGAGGCCAGGAATTGAAAATAACCACTGCTATTTAGAGTGCAGGAGCCTTGCTAGCATAGTGGCTCACCTTGGGCTGTGATCTACCAGACTAGCAGTTCCAAATGAGCTCTGCAGTAGAAAGATGAGGCTTTTTACTTCCAGAAAGATTGGCAGTCTCGGGAGCCCACAGGGTAGTGCTAAATGGACTCAATGGCAGGGAGTTTGGCCTTTTTGGTTTCAGGTAAAATGGAAGTTGCTTAACTTCTGGCTAGAAATGATTTTTTAAGAGCTTTTGTATTTTCAGTAGATGCTACATAACTTAATTTTTTAATAAGACTGAATTTCTAAGAAAATTTTAAGAAATTCTGTTCTACCAGATTTACTGGCTATAAGAGAAATGCCAGGGCATTTCCCCCACAAAACTTTATTACTTCCTAAAAGTCTATATCCTATAGAATTTTTACTATAAACTATCAAGCTCATAGATAATTAAACTTTTCTTTTGGGAGGTTCTGGTGCTTCTTTGTGAATTGAAGAGAAATATCAGCTCTGAAGTTACAAAAGAACTAAAGGGCTTCTGTTGGACTCCTGAAGCAAAACTCTGAACTCCCAAAGAAACGTGTTTTTTTTAAATAGTCATGTGACAATTCACACACACATATATTTTTTGTCCTTTAGATGTGGAAACAACTTCTGTGCATCGCATCGCTATGCAGAAACTCACAGCTGCACCTATGATTACAAGAGTGCAGGGAGGAGATACTTGCAGGAGGCAAATCCTGTTGTTAATGCACCAAAACTTCCAAAAATCTAATTCTTGCTCTGCGAGTAACTGTTCTACCCGGGGAATCGTATTATAATGACAGAAGACATATTGTTCAGACTGCATTATTTTTCATCGACTTTAAAAGATTTGTCAAATAACAAAGACATATGGTGCATACTGTTGGAGAATACAAGTACTACTGTGATTGACATCTTTATTCTTTACTGACTTGAAAATCTTAAAAATAGTTAACAATTTTTTACACTATAATGATGTTAACTTTGTCATTGCACATCTTGTGTTAAGTGTTTTATATTTGATCCTGCAATTTCAATAAGCAAGTCTTCAAAAATGCACTTTATTATATTAATATTGACTGAGTGACCAGGCGTCCACATGTCCAACACAGAAATGAGCAGTCATATAATGGTTTTACTCAAATCTACATTGTGGTTTTGATTGGTTTTTCAATCTTTTTTTGGAGGTATGGGGATTTGGGAAGGTGGAGATGTTTTTTTTCAGTCCCACATGTGACTGTTTACTGAGTTGACAAGGAAGTTCTTTTTAAATTTCAAGCTACTGTTTAAAAGAAGAACATCTGGTTTTCCAGTGTTATTTTTAGACCACATCTATTTCTTCCATATTCAGATTGGCATTCAGAGAGATATGTGTGTTCATTCTATGAAACATATCATGTTAATTATAGTATATATTTCTCACAATACTACTTTTGGAATGGTAATTTAAAAATAGAAGATATTCTAGTTATTGTTATTAAATACAGAAGCCAACTTTTCACTTAAAAAAATGGCTACATTTAAAACTAAGTCTCACTGCTTGGTTTGTTTTTCATAAGAAAATGTTGAGTGCTATTATTACCAGGAGAAATTCAAATAAATATTCAATTTCATTGTGAGTTTGATTATTTACAAAATGTTTCTTTTATGAAACCATGTAATTTTAAATCTACTCTACTTGGAAAAAATGGAAATAATTATAAAGGCATTATATTAGATTATAAAGGCCCTACTCCCCAGATGCAACCAATATATCATTCAGGCTTTTGGAAGCCACTTGCCTTACAGAAGATTAGTTAAGGTGGATGCCAAGCCCTGATAAACAGCCAGTAGGCAGCCCAAGTAAACTCTAATATTCTGAGGTCCCCAGAGCTCAGAAAATACTAAATTAGGGGCTCCACAGGACTTCCACCTAAGGGAAGGTGGCCAGATGTCCCACTTTTGGCTAGACAGTCCCGATTTTTGGCGTTTTAAAAAAGTCCCGGTTTTTGGAAAGAATGCACAACAAGCTAGGGAACGGTCTATTTGGTCCATATAGACCAAATTTTTAATCCAGAACTACCCCCCTTCCCCGCCCCCGCCCCAGGTCAATGGTGTCCCGCTTTAAATCTGGTCACCTTAACCTAAGGCCAAGTTAACTGGAGAGAGTTTGTTACTATTCCCCTAATTCAAATAAGAAACTAAATGTTAAATGGTGAAAGATGCTAGAGAAAAATGTGTTTGTAAGACTAAAAAGGGATGGTTAAAAATGAGAGGATTAAGCGATTGAGGTTGGAAGAATGTGTCTTAAAAGGACTACAGATTAAAAATGCCCACTGCTGGTCAAGTGGATCCCAACTCACAGCAATCTTACAGAGTAAAACTGCCCCACAGGGTTTCCAAGGTTGTAAGTCTTTATGGAAGCAGACCTGCCACATCTTTCTCCTGCAGACCGCAAGTTCAAACCACTAGCCTTTTGGTTAGCAGCTGACCATTTCAACTACTGTACCGCCTTGCTCTGAAGATGTAGGTTTTACAAATTCTATCATGTGATCTTCAACTAAGTTTTGTCTCCAAGGGCACATTTTTCAACTACTGATCCTGCCTCTTGTTGCCAACTTTCCAATTCCAATTACTAGGAATCATCAGTGCATCTTGATTGCATGTTTGATCAATTTCAGACTCAAGAAGTTGGTAGAACACTTCAGTTTCTTCATCATTGGCTTTACTGGTTGGTGTGTATATTTAAGTAAAAACTGCGTCAACTGGTTTCCTTGTGGGCATATAGATATTATCCTATCACAGACAGCATTGGACATCAATAGATATTGAAATGTTCTTTTGATGATGACATGATTCTTCTTGAATTTGTCATTCCCTGCGTATTAAACCATATGACTATTTGAATCAAAATGACTGATATCAGTTCATTTCAGCTCATTAATGCCTAGGATATCGATCTTTATGCGTTCCATTTTATCTTTGATTACTTCCAATTTTCTGAGATTCATACTTTGCATATTCCAAATTCTGAATAATAGTGTGTTTTTAGCTGTTTTTCTCATTTTGAGTCTTGCCCTTGGCAAAGAAGGTTCCAGAAGCTTTCCTCTATCCAAGTCATTAAGATTTACCCTAACTTCAGGTTGCAGCTCTTCTTCAGCTGTATTTTGAGTGAATTCCAAGCGGAGGGGCTCCTCTTCTGTCACTATTACAGACCTTATTTCACTGCTCTTGACAAGGTTTTCAGTGGTTAATCCCTCTGCAGTTGACTGCCTATTCCTAGTCGATTCTTAGTTGGAAGGTCTGCTGAAATGTATTCACCATGGTGATCCCATCAGTATTTGAAATACTGGGACCACAGCAACATGAAAACCACCAGAGCACTTTAGACACTTCTCTATCTGGGCTGGTTTCTGGGTGTTGCGATGTGTCTTATTTTCAGGTTATTGTATACTACTGTTTTATGTCCAACATAACTCCCTTGAATATTTCTTGTAAGATGAGTCTTGTTAACAAATTCCCTTAGTTTCTGCTTATCTTGAATATCTTAATTTTGTCTCTGTATTTGAGGGACAGTTTTGCTCAGCATATAATTCTTGGTTTATATTTATTTGTTTGTTTATTTATTTCACGCTATCTCTGGAAATCCCAAGAGTGAGCAGGTTGCCAACGGGCACACAGGTGCATGTACACCTGCACGTAGGAGGAATCTCACTGGCCACAGCACACCTGAACAAGAGAAAGTCCTGCCTTCAGTCTGTGTTATTTCCCCCCTTCTATTCCCACTGGCTCATGGGGCATAATTGAGGGCATTAGCCAATCTTATTGGTTGAGTTTAGGTGCACCTGTGTGAGGTAACATGCCTAGCATTGTGTGTGGACCCAGGTTTCCCTTCACCTAGGTCTAGGTGACTTGTGACTTTGGTCTGAGCATGCCCAGTTTTGGATTTTCCCATAGGTGTCTAATTAGTGTGCCTGATTTTTTCCAACCCCTTTATTGAATGAGTAAAGAAGAGGCATGAAGAGCTAACTTTTGTTTAGTGTAGGCATTCGATAGAGACAACACCCTTTATCCCTAATCTAGTTCCCTTTCCGAATATCATAGTGATTTTCTTTGGGGCAGGAATGTCGATCTTGCTTTGGGTTTGTTGAGATTCTTAAATGCATATCTTATAATCTTTTATGATTTGATTCAAATTTTCTTCCAACAAATCTTAGACTATTTTCTCGGTGTGCCTGTGTTTTAAAAATTTTTTTTGTCTTTTCCTGTTCTGGAATTTTGATCAGAAGTAAATTATTTGTGTCCCACATAAGTCTTAGGCTTTGTTTTTGTTCTTTTTCTGATTATTCCCCTACCAAGTTAGTATTGAGAATTTTGCCTTCAATTTCCTATTTATTACATTCTATTCGATTCAGTTCTATTCCTTTTCCCAGTTTGAAATCTTAGTACTAACCATGCTGAATCTGCCAAATTGTAAATCTTCAGATCTGTTCCTGTTCATTTCTTAGGCCTTGTAGAAGTTGTCTGTAACTCAGATGTTAGTAATTCAGGGACTGCCTGTGTTACGTTAGTGTCTTTTTGATGTGTGGCACTATCCTAAATGCTGTATTACAATGTTAAACTAAACAAGGTACCTGCTTTAATCACACATTTCCTACAGAGGAAAACCAAAATATATATATGATGGTGTATTGGTATATCCAGATGATATGTTAAACTTTGGTTACAAATTAATCCCTATGGTAGTTACATAATCTGGTGTCAATTTGGGATTTGAGAGGATTAAGAGTGAAGAGGTAGAGTCTAGTCTGTCAATCTGGTCATAGCCAATGAGGCCTTTGTGTGGGAATGGCCTTCTCCTGAGAATTCTGGGAACTCCTATATTTCCTCCTTGGAGGCAGAAGACTTATCTGTCTGCTCACTCCCTGAGAGATGCTCTACTGACATGACACATGGTGCTATGCCCTGGGAGCTGGAGAAGCCACATGGACCTACCCTGATGCAACCAGACCTCGGGAGCCAGAGAAGCCACATAGAGACCCCTGCCAGCACTGAGATGCTTAGACACCACTGGATCCACAAGACTCCAAAGTCCCTGGCCTGTGATCCACCTGCATTTGGCATCATTGCATGTATTTCGTGAGTCTGAAGAGGACTTTATAGATTGGTATTGGACATATGGGTAATATTGGACTTATGGACTTGATCTGAACTGGGCTGGGATGTTTTCTCAATATTCAATTGCCCTGATATATAAACCTCTTTCTTAAATACATATGAGTGTCCATGAATTTGTTTTTCTAGTCTACTCAGACTAACACAATCTCCAAAGCTCAAGTATTTTAACACAACAACATTCATTTCTTGCACTGAAAAAACATGACAGGTAGTGGCCAGTCAGGTAGACTTTGTAATTAATGTGTGCCTCAAGGCTTGTACTATACTTATGGTAAGGACTTGATAACCTATGAATAATTCCCTTAGTGGTGTGAAGGTGAATTTTAAAAACTGAGGCATTTAAAAGTGATTCCAGGCATAAATTAAAAACACCAAGCTGCTATCTGATCTAGAAATGTCTACTTTTCCTCTAAAGACAACTCAGTTTTTAGTCAAAATTCAGCTACTGGTAAAATAAGTAAGACAAGAGTTCAGATTTCTGACGTAGATGAAGATTTGTTTGTTTAAAGTGCCTGTTTAAAATGTTTACTCAGCTTGGTCTAAAATAATACAATTCTCAAGCACCCTAAACCCTACAAGCTCTGTTAGAAAATGAAATTGGAATAGAAAAATGTTAAGATAGAGCTTGTGACTGATAGAAGCTTAGGGAAAAGGGGTTGTTTCCTAAAGACCTACTAATCAACAAAGAATAGCTGGCCAAACCATAAATAAAAAGGGGTCCATCCTTAAAAAAAAAATATCAGGCACACATTAGAAGGTTATGGGAAGAACCCAATGTAAAGGACCCACAGCTTGGGTATGGGCAGTAAGAGCCAGTCATACAAAATGTTACATGCACACTTGAGGGTATACACCAAAAATCCACTGATATACAACCATGCCCTCCAAGTAGATGTGAAAGGGGGGTGTAAAGGAAGGCTCTCCATGCTTTTCAGAGATGTCCCATGATGCAGCTTTCTATGCTTTCTGGAGATGGTCCATTCTTTCCTGTGGGAGTGTACTATCCAAAGCTTTACTTTCATTCATAAGAGTTTACTTTGATATGCAATTATGATTATAATGAATGAATTCTTTCTACACAGAGAAGCAAGAACCAAGTAAAACCATCCCCAAACCAAAAATAACTTCCAACCAAGTTGCGGCAAACACTGGAAGTTAACCAAGTCTCAGCCTTGATTTATTGACTCCCCCCAAATTAGACTTCAAGGATTTATAGAAATGTGGCCACTTCAACAGGGCATGGGAATACAAGGGAAAAGCATGAATTGGTGGCTGATAGTACCTTACAGTTGCAGACAGGACCATGGAAGTGAAAAAGGAGACATAGTTGGGATACCTACACTTTCTAAATAGAAAAACTACAATATTTGTTTTGGACCCTTTGGGTAAAGCAGGCGAGGGATAACTCTTGACCATGTAGTACCTAGTACTCCCAAATCCATCAAGAGAATATTCA